GTGTGATGTTGACGACAAATATTACGACATCCTGCACACAACACACGGTTTTTGAGTTTGTCCCTGCTGTCCTAGAGCCACACATGTATATGCATATTTTCACAAAAAAAATGTATATGTATATACGTACATTCCAGCATTCTGCTTCGTGTAGCAGTACCACAAATGATGCCGAGTCACAGGCACGTGAACGTCTCGATCTGGCCGGTGGAGGGGGGTTTTGGTTGGTCGAGAGGGGCATGGAAAAGTCTACCGATGGGCGAGTTTTCGACCGGTTGTTGCCTAGCTACCTAGCGATGCACGCAGAACAGAACGTACTATGTATGTCCCGCAAAAAGAACGTACTATGTATAATGGTGCATCTCCACCTTTAAATTGCCCAATATTCCTGTGGATCAGACGGTCCGGACATATATTGCTATTCAACGCGGTACTTTATCCATCTGTTGATCGATCGGTGCCTCTTTTTTTGCAAACCGAAAGACGAGGGGCTTTCTGAGCATCCAGACCACTGCCACGCACGCATCGGACATCCTGGTCTCGTCCGAAATTCTCATCCTCGCCCGTGCCCCTTTCGACATGAAGCAGTTGCCTCGCATTCATAGCGGTCAGCACCGCTTCAGAGTGTCTGCGCCACATTCATGACTGCCGACAGCGGACGCGACCTCTGACTGGAGCCGACATTGAAGGAGAGCGCTAGCCGAGAGCGCCGCCCACGCCGTGTCCCGATGCACTCGTCTTCTCTCCGCATTCAAATGCCACCCATCCGTCCGCCTCCCTCCATTAAACAAAGCACGGTTGTCGAGAGATACACTTCCGCACCCGCATGTGAACGTCGCTCATCTGTTCGGCTCCTGGTCGACATTAAACACCCCGTCGCTTGGCCTGGCCACGCCCACTTTTTTTACATTGTCAGGCTCGGCATCACCATGAGCGAGGCCCGGGCGCACTTCACCGACATGATGGTGCAAGAGCGGGACGCGGCGTTCCGGCTGGCGCAGGCCAACCAGAGGTACAATCACCGGCTCCTCGACAAGCACTAGATTGCGGAGGAGCAAATCGCCGGTGACCTGGCGAACGACAATGCCATCATGGACATGGTAGCGGACGTGGAAGGGCAGAAGGTGTTGTTCCTGTCTGGCCGCACCGCTGCAAGATCATCCGTGAGCGATCGCGGTTGCGGCTCCCGCGGGCGGAGAAAGACACTCTGCTTATGGACATCGACACAACGACGGAGGAATTTGAGGACGACACCGACAACGCCGCCAACTTCGCGTCGGCCGCACCGCCGCCGCCGTTCGCGTCGTGCCTCCACCACGATGAGGCCGGCACGTCCACGACCGCCGTCGTTGATAGCACGGTAGAGTAGAACATGGGAGGCCACCACCGCTTGGGTCCTAGGCAGACATTGTCAGGCCACACAGCCGAAGAGCTTGCCGCAGCTTCGAGGAGGCAACTACTATTCTTTCCCTCCCGCTGAAGCTCCACTTCCGAGGTTCACAGCTGACCGGTGAGCTTGCTGCCAATCCTGGGGAAGACATGTCGCGGGAAACGGGCGCTGTCGCGACCTGCAATCATTTAGACTAGGCAAAAAGAGCCTACTCCGCTATAGTTTAATAGCAATATGTCGGAAATGTAATTTTTTTTGTCCGCCTTATATGAAAATCATTTGATTTGCATGTAATTCGTCCGGTTTGTTAAAATTCGATTTAAAATGTATGTGGACACGGTTGAATTGCCGGCTTCCATATCACTGTTTATGGAATGGTTCGGACAAGTCCATAATGGATACTGTAATTTTGGGGTCGGTATTGGAGATGCCCTAGGGGAACTTAATTTGACCCCATCTAGGCCGGTCGGTTTCATCTGAACCGTGAATGCTACTAGCCAGCTGCTAACAGAGCGGTCAAATAAAAAGAATTCCCCAAATATGTAGTGTACACGCTTGGTACTGGCAATGCGAATGTACCTACACCTTCCTTAAAAAAAATAGATCAACACACTCAAATTTGTCGTGTGGTGCCAAACTATTATTGGTGGAGCACCTGGTTAATTCGTTTTATTTGGGAAACATGAGGTGAATTATTACTTTTAATAAAGAGAATAATTGGCAAAAGAGCATCATCGGTGTGTAAGAGTATCTATCACCTGATTTAGCAAATCTAGCCCCCTAAACGATTGTGGATGCGCCCAGCACGTCTATGCCGGGCGTTTCCATTTTCAGCCCCTATTTGTTTATTTATGCAACCATACTTCTCATTTTTTTCTCATATATTCGATCACTTGCACATCATTGCCGGAGATGAAAAGAGGAAAATAAAAGAATGAAAAAAGAAAGAGAGAAAGTGGTACGGTGTGAGTCGCATCCTACATGGCGGACCGACCGGACGCGTCCGCGAGCCCTCATATCCTCCCTACATTTATTCTCAATATGAGAGTTTACGAACAACCCGGACATGATTGTATGATGGATCCGGTTGAGTCGCTTTTTTCATCGACCGGGGCGTCCGCGGACTCTTTGAGAAGGATTCGAGGATGCAGGTTGTACCTCTAAACCTATCTCTAACGTGGGTTTCATATGCTTGTCTCTAATTCTATTTATTTTACTTGCAATGTAGTAAGCCTCTAATCAAACTATCACGACCATTTGGTCTTCATTGCATTCTATGTGCAGGATTCATACTGACAATTTCGATTCTACATAAAAGATTATTGATGGCCAATGCTTTTTTTGATGCTTTTTTTACATGCTTAGACTTAGTAGTAGCGTTGGTTGTCTAAAAGCGTTACTGCTATTGATCATAGCAGTAGCGCTGGTTTACTTAACACGCTACTGCTATGGAGCTTAGCAATAGCGTTGCTTACGAACCAGCGCTACTACTATCACTAGTAGAAAATCGGGCATTAGCACCGGTTCGTAAGGCCCTTTAGTGCCGGTTATGGAACCGGCACTATTATTTCGCCACTAAAGCCCCCCCCCCCCCTTTAGTACCGGTTCAACACGAACCGGTGCTAAAGGGGTACCACGTGGTACGAGCCAGCTCCGGGGGCCGGGAGCCCTTTAGTACCGGTTGGTAAAACCAACCGGTACTAAATGGTTGTGGGTTTTTGTTTTATTTTGTATTTTTCAATTAAATTTGTGTTATCAATTTAATTTAGGATTGTTTTACGTTATAATGAGTTGTAGTCGTCATCATCATCATCATCATCATCATCATCGCATATTAATAAATAAATAAACTCTAGCTAGCTAAAAATCATCGTGGTCGTCTAATTACCACTATTTAATCATCATAGTCATTACCGCTAGCTATGTAATTCATCATCAACGTTGGTAGCTTAAAGAGGAAACATTCACTTTGTAACAGAAGCAAAGAGATATCATCAAGTTCAACATAATTAATCATCACCAACATCGAAGTTCAGGACATGGATCCATGAGACAAGTACTAATTAAGAGCATGAAGAGTAGCTACTGATCCTGCTGCTCCCTCTCAGGTAGAATAGCATAGAATATGTATAGCTCTCCTGATTCATCATACTGGAGCATGCAGATGAATCTGTCTCCTAATCTTGGGTTGCGCTTCTCCTTACTGCCCCCTAGTACTTCTCTGCGATCGTTAACAATTTTGCTCCAATCTTTCACTATTAAGCATTCTTCGCTTTTAGAAATCCTGAATGCACTCATGTGCAATGTAGGAAATCTTGGTCGTAAGCTAACCATTGACATGCGACCTTTTGTCTCGATCCACTGAGGCACAACTGTCATCGGAAGTCCCTGTTGAACAACATCGTATAGTAATTAATATACTAAG